TTATAATCCTCCCACCCTTTCCTGACCAGTACGCGTGACTGCATCATGAGCTCTAGCAGATTTCGTATACGGGTGGGTACATATTGGTTGTTACATGTGGAAATCCGGGGCACGATCGCGTCCGGGCTAATGCATCATCTATCTTCTCCCCACCTCGTCCCCGACAACATGACGAAATCATCGCTGTCCTCCGTCTCAACCCGCCTGCCCTATCTTCCATGAATCTTCTGTACATCCAGGTTATTCCCCGCTGGTCCCCCCACACCTCATTATTCCAAATCCTCGACCACCACAGAGTCTGCCGAACGTTCGAGCTTGATTGATCACAATCCGCCAGGTCCAACGACGTCGCCACAGGAGTCCCACCAGTGAGGACCTCAACGCGTGCACAGTGTGCAGTCAGACTCTTTAGGAATGCTCATTCCGTTATTTCCTTGAGGTCCCTCAGCTATCTACCGTCCTTTCAAGTGACCATGCGTGTGGGTTATATCTTGATCGCGGTCGTGGCGACTCTCCTTACTTGCTTCACTTCGATTACGACAAGCGAACCCCTGCGTTTCAAGGAGGCTACCTCGAATCGTATCCTATCGGCTGATGACGAGGAGAACGAAGGCATGGGCAGGCGGCTCGTATGGCTCAGGCGCGTGGATAGTGACGATCTGAAAGCATTTCCCTTGACTGAGGTGAAGTTGATTCTAGCGAAAGAATCGACACGGAATCAGTACTTACAGAGCTGGGGAGATGGGAAGGTTAGCATCAAGAACCTAGCAAAAGGTCTTAAGCTCAGCACTGCTAAAAGCAAGCGTTTGCGGGATATCCTGAACCGGAACAAGAAGGATCAGCTCAAGGTATTGAAGATGTATGAGGATTACCTGAAAACGCTTAAGAAGATTCCTTCTCCCCCAGTCGCATAGGTAGCGTAAAGCATCCAAGGCAGGGAATTCAGTACAAGCTATACGTCTTTGCCATTTGTTAGTTTTGTGATTAAGTGAACCTTATCTCGGCAAGTCACAGCTGTCCGGTGTGTGTGACAGTTCTCTCGTACTCCAAGCCTCTAATACTTGAGTAGTAACTTCACATATTGAACATAGTGTGTCTTTTGATCGCACTTATTACTACTCGAAATTATACGCTTGAAGACTAATACCGGTAGTGGTACTCACATTCCAACTACAGTACTACATCCCAAAGTAGTATTAATACCTCGAAGTGCATGTATCAATCACTGAGACAAGTACTAAAAACAAGCAGCTAAGTGCATTGTAAGCTCTTAATGATGTAGCCCAACACACTGCTCGTAAAAGTTCAGGTAAGCTTGGCACTCTGCGCCTGGTATTTCTGAAACTTGCTGGACAGTTCCCATCCGAGACCGACAAATACGACAGCCACTCCGAGCCACGACATGAGAGTGAGCTCGTGTCCGTACCAGACCACAGAGAACAAGATCGTGAAGAACTTGCGCGTGGTGGTGATCGTAGTGCACGTGAGCGCCGAGAACTGCTGGATGGTGAAATAAATGAAGTTCTGGCCCAACGCGCTGCACACGGAGAAGTAGAAGACCGAGTTGAGGATGGCCGGGTTCTCCATGCAGAAGAAGAAGCCCTCCAGTGCCTGACCGGTCACTAGGGCACCGATACCCGTGTACACAACAGCCCAAATGTTGGTGTTGAGCATCTGCTGGTGCACCGAAGGACGCAGTTGGTGCGCGATCTCCTCCTGCTTGGGGCCCGAGATGCCGTCCAGTGTGAGCGAAAAGAAGAGAAGAAGCAGACCGTATGTACTGTTCTCACGCTCGGCGTGCTTGGCTGAGCCTTTGCCCAATTGGAACACTGCGATGCCCGTCGTGATGACCAGCACGCAAATGTAGTCACGGATGGTGTACTTCTTGCGACGGATGAGGACGCCCATGAGCATAACGGGGATCATCTTGCACGACTTGCCCAGCGCTTGAGTGGGGAAGCTCACGTGTTTCAGAGCCTCGTTACTGCACAGCATAGCGCCCAGGTAGGCAGCCGCAGTCGTGGCGAACGGGGCCAAAGGCATGCGCGCGCGCTGCGGTTTCCACACGAACGTAGCCGCGTAGGCTACCAACGAGTTGGTGACGCACTGTACGAAGAGCATGAAGAGTGTAGACGTGAACTTGTCACCACTTGGAGAACGGTACGTGAAGCTGGCAAGAGGTAGCGGATGATACACATCGGTTGGTTTTGTGAAGGTTTAAACGATAGAATTGTAAGCTGCGTACATTTTCTCCTGGAAGATGCCATAGCTGAGGTAGCACGTGTAGATACCGCCGATGCAGATGAGCAGGTTCAGGATGCTCGAGTCCCGCGGGCTCGACGCGTACAGCACCGTTCGTCCCATGATGCCAACGATCTAATGACGAGTCGAGTAAAATGGCTGGAGTGCCACGTGTAAAAGACAAGTGATGTCGCTCGAAGGTAACACGATGTTTGAGCCACACAAACAGATGTTTTTCGCGAATGCTAACCAACTTTGAAAGAAACCAACGTACAAGCAAATAGTCGGGTTTTATTTTAAATTGTTTTTACCAAGTCTGTGTACGCCACACAAATGTCGCAACACCTTCCACAACCAGCAATTGTCGAGCGGCAGTCTTCAACAAGCTATTGCGCGATGCGGTCCAACGACAGCCAGAAGATCATCGTGGTGGGCATCCCCAAGACGCTGGATGACGCTCA